ATTGCTTCAATATTTGTTTTATTCAAATTGATAGAACGCAGTAAATGTTTTCTTATTTTGTTTCATTATGTTACGGGCTACGTTCTGATATTTACTATATCCTAAATTTACTATGCTGCTTTATAATTTTAATAAAATAATCTTTTCTATAATTTTAATATCAAATTTCTTAAAAATGTGCAGTATTGCCTTTATGGAAAAAAAAGTGAAAATTATATTGCGCATTAAACAAATTACAAAAAAATGAGCATTATTATTTTTAAATTTATCGAAACGTGTTACATTCTTTATGAAAATCAATACTTGTAAACCTCATTATAAATTTGCGCAAATCCGAAAAAGGTTTAAAAGTTGAAGGCGCTCGATAATTCTGTAACTATAGCAAGTGTATTAGTTATATATTAAATACATTTATTTATTAATAGGAAACTGATATTGCTGTGGCGGCATTAACAATGACGTCGGAGCGAGAAGAAGTCATCGATTTTGTCGCACCCTATTTTGAACAATCCGGTATACTAATCGGTATGCAAAATTTAGATCTTTTTTTATATAATACGTGTTATAAATACTACTTGCGATAAAATAGTAATTTTTCCAACGAACGTTTATGCTCTTTCAGTAGCACATTTCAATTCTTATCCTGTGTTTTTTTTTCCTTTTTAACTTTATAGTACAAGTTGTGTTTGAGACAGGTTTTACCTCTAGCTGCACATAGACAACTGAATATGGAACGGATAATTTATGTTAGCTTTTATTTTCAAGTAATGAGAAAGCCAGTCCGTAAAACGTCCCTATTCAAGTTTATGACGGTACTGCGACTTGAAGTCTGGCTTAGCATCGTGGGAGCTCTAACTTTGACCGGTATCATGATTTGGATATTAGATAAATATTCACCATACAGCGCCAGGAACAATAAACGACTTTATCCCTATCCTTGTCGGTACGTATATTTTAATTTTTACGTTTCATCAGACAGTATATTACAGACTAATAGCCACTCGGTATGTTAAATGTACTTTATCGCGTTTGATATGTCAGCAGTGTGACTTTTAATATGTTTGAAGATTTTATCTTTCTTCTTCCCCTTCTTGTTGTGTCTAACAGGCAGATTACTACTTTTCAGAGAATTCACGTTAAAGGAGAGCTTTTGGTTCGCATTGACGTCTTTTACACCGCAGGGAGGCGGCGAAGCTCCAAAAGCATTATCAAGCAGGACACTGGTTGCAGCTTATTGGCTATTCGTTGTACTAATGCTCGCCACTTTTACTGCCAACTTAGCTGCTTTTCTTACCGTGGAAAGAATGCAGGTGTATATACTCTTATTAATATATCATGTATATTTGTCGGAGATTTTTTTCTCTTGTCTGGACAGAATTATTGGTCAAGATGATCTTTTATAAGGCACATTATTTCTCCCGCACTAATATTTGCGTATATTTCACTAAATAGTCACCTGTGCAATCGTTGGAGCAACTGGCTAGACAATCGCGCATAAACTATACTGTTCTGGCCAACTCTAGTTCTCATCAATATTTCATAAACATGAAAAACGCCGAGGATAAACTTTATACGTGTGTAAAACAAACGTTATCTTCTTATGAAACACGTTGTTAGGATAAACTACATTATGCATGCTATTTGCTTGTAGAGTATGGAAAGAAATCACACTAAACAGTACCAGCGATCAAGTAGAGTACCGCGTCTGGGATTATCCGATAAAGGAACAATACGGTCACATTCTGCAAGCCATTACTCAGGTTGGACCAGTCAAAAACACCGAGGATGGTTTTAAGAAGGTACGAGGATGAAAAAGAAGACGAAGAATCGTGAGAAATTGTGGGGCGCGACACTAAATATCTGGTTGGAATGCGTCCGATACTTTTCAGGTGATAGAAAGCGAAAATGCTGAGTTTGCATTCATTCATGATTCGTCGGAGATAAAATACGAAGTAACGAAGAATTGCAATTTAACGGAAGTGGGCGACGTATTTGCCGAGCAACCGTACGCTATTGCCGTGCAGCAAGGCAGTCATTTGCAGGAAGAAATAAGCAGAAAGTCTTTGATCGATTTTCTTCCATTTTTATCTCTCTGTTGCGTTTAATTCATTCATTTCCAATTGAATACATACTGTCACTGTTGTACTTGGATATGCAGCTTATTGCCGTTTATTATTTTTAATTCACAAGTTCTATGCAATTGTAAATATAGTTAACTGATCCACAACAACAAATACGATATATATATAGCAACAGTCTATGACAGTCAAAAGTTTTTCATATACATAGATATATGTAGTTATTAGCGATTGCATTTGGAAGGAATGGATTAAGCAGTTCAGATTAGCATAAGTGTAATATTGTTCTCTCGTGATTATCATCTTTTGCAACAAACATCCGACATAGATAATGTTACTTTCAGGATACTCGATTTACAGAAAGACAGATACTTTGAGATATTGGCAGCCAAGTATTGGAATCAGACGTTGAAAGCCCAATGTCCGAACTCCGATGAAAACGAGGGAATTACGTTAGAGAGCTTGGGTTCGTTGCCATTTCTTATACATTACAAATTAGATATTATATTTATGTTTGTCACATTTTGTGTCTAATTAGTATTTTTATATAGGAGGTGTATTTATTGCGACTTTGTTCGGACTGGCATTGGCGATGATCACTTTAGCCGGTGAAGTTCTTTATTATCGCAAACGCGGTGGTTCTCAGCAAGGGAGTCAGAAAGGGATTAAAGATACTGAAAGCGACAAGGTCATCTTGCAGAAAATCGCATCGAAACTTCGAATGCAGCCCGCGCCCACTGACGCAGTTTTTGGCAAACAACTTAGTCAGACACAGCGTGTTTCACACATTTCCGTTTATCCACGGCATTTCTCCAAGGAGTAAACCAAAGTTTCAACGACGATCAATCATATTACGGACTCGCAAATCATCTCTGGTTAATCCTTATGTGTTTTTCAGAGTTTTCTCCTTTACGATCACTTTTAATATTTAGAATTTATCACGATGGCCAATAAGTAGAGTTTTCGCATTATGGTTAGTGTATTTGTCAACAGTTGTCGTACTTGGATACTGTTTCATTATAAAATCATTATTGATTAATACAATATTGTGCAGAAAATTGAATTTAAGTAATTGATTAAATTTGTTGAAAACTGTATGATATAAAATTCTCAAAACTATACTTATACAAACTTTTTGGGAAATGTGTTCTACTTACACCGATAAATAAATTCTACGCTTTGTTATATTAAAATAGTTCAATATTAATTAATCGTTACTGATTATATGATTGGATTTAGCTATGTTTTTAGTTTTTAAATATAACATACATTTATTAAAACGAAACATACGATACACTTCTTTTTAAAATGTTTATATTATTAAAAAGATATTAATAAATGAATATGCAGGATGTCCTACTTAACTCTTTTTCTTTGAGACTATTAAAGGTAACAAGAAAATAATTTTTTACATCTCATTGTCCTCTACCAGTCGACACAGGAGCATCGGTGACATTATAGGTACCTGTGTTGTAATTTCGTACTCAACAATATCAATGTAATATAACTAGTATTACATTTACATTGTTGAGTGCGAAATTATAATTATATGTGTGATGTCACTGATGCTCTGTGTCGACTTGGCTGACGCCTTATTTACGTTTTAATTTATAAATATAGTTCTACGTTTATTTTACGTTTACCAATTGTTTTTATATTTCTACGTACAAAGTATTAAAATAATTATTTAGAATAATTTTATATTTTGTCAAAGTGTATCAGACCAGAAAACGAAATATCTTCTAAAATACAATAGTTTCTCTCGGAGGCTGTTTTGGCTGATAATTATCTTAATACTTTTACACGTAGAATAAAAAAGGCAATAGAGTGAAATATAAAGGAAACCTATAGTTCTATTTAAATTAGGATGCTCATTCTTTTTATTCTTTCATCAAGAAATGCGACAGCGGTATCCCATCGCACCTAAGACCTCAACAAGTATTAAAATAAAAATAAAAATTTTATCTTCAACAGATTTGTTGCGAGGAAGCAAGCTTGTATAACATCTTAGATGGTATACTATATATTTTGACAAACTCTTGCGTTGGGACGGAAATATTTACAATGATACGCGCGGTCATTGATCTTCGAATACTTTCACATTGTATATAGCTTTGCTTCTTGAGTCTAAATGTAGGCAAAAACGATGTTCATTTAATTAACAATTTGAAAGTGCTTTTATTTTTTTTTACTATTTTGCTTAAAGCATCAAGAAGTGTCATTTGAGTCTAATACATTTATGGTTTGATGTTGCTGACAAATAATAAATCTGCCTTTTTATTTTTTAAGTGAATAATCCATTAATAATATTCGCTAATTCATGTTGATGAATTTATACAAAACAAGATTGTGATTTTCTTATACTACGATATTTGATTATTCATTCTTAAGTGAATAATTCATTAATAATAATCGCTAGTTTGTATTGATGAATTTATACAAAGCGAGACTGTAACTTTCTTATATTACGATATATATGAAAAATTATAAAAGTTAATCATACACTGTAAATGTCTTAAAGCAAACGGTTGCGAATTGTGGGATTTATTATTAGTAAAAGTCATTGCTCTATCTTTCTTTCTCTATCGATGTAATTGTACATGTCCTATAATCTTATTATTTTCACTGGTTTTCGTCGTAAACGCTCACGCCGAGTTACGTAAATAAAAGCAAAAGTAGTTTAGGTAATCGGCCGATTGTTTCGATCACTTCGATTGGAGCGCGTCACGGTTGATGAATTTTTCTAACAAAAGAATAAAGGCTTATGCTCGGTAGGGAATATCTGTTATTTACCACAAGTCAATATAAAGGCTTTCACACGAAGACGCGATCACTTGATGAGAAAGTGATGTAGATCGTGGTTATCCTATCGGAATCGAAAATACAAATCCACTCGCGGGTTCCGGTTGGTGGTCTTCGAAAATGGCTTGTTGCAAGGTTAGTGAAAGAGAAATGTTTAGACGGAATATAGATTCGATATTTTTTAATTTTGATTAATTGTATTAATCAGTTTATACACTAACATTGTCTCTGGTGCACGCAATTGTATGCCTTTTTCTTAGATGCAATTATGTTTCCTTTCTTTACGACAATTCATCTCATTATTTTTAAAATATTAGAGAATGCTCGTTGAAAAATAAATATTTTTCGATAATATTTAATCGCTCGGTGACTTTGATACTTTCATGTATAAAATGGCTGGTGAAAAGAAAGGGAGAACGAATTTCCACAAAAATGTCGTATGATTGCATGAAAAAAATATAGATGAGTTTTCTAAAAGGAAAAGATTCAAAATTGCAAGTCTAATCGAATGCAATATTGTTATACTAAACAAAATTAATATTTTTATTTCGCTATTGTTATTTGAATAGAATAAATATTCTCTTATGCACCCGCAGATATATCTAACGTTATCAGCTCTAATTACTTGTCACGTAAGTGCAAATTACGAGTATGAGCGTTCCAAGAGTTTGAGCTCAGACAGTACATCGCATCCTTGGTATAAGCAATATGAGGTTTACGAGAATGCCCCTTCGGAGATTCAGCCTCATTACAATTTTCACGGATTGACCAAAGATCGACCTGCAGTTCGCCCCGGAGGCCCATCCGAACCTTCCTCGATCACCGCTAAGAAAGAACCCACCGAAGAGAAAAACTTGAAAAAGATCCCGTTTTATGCGTTCGCCAATAAGGATTCCACAAGATACAAGGAGCTGACTCCTGATTTGGGAATCGCGCACTGTCAAGAGATTAAGGTGACATCAGCGGGTGAGAAGGACGACAAAAGGAAAGGCGTTACGACTTGTTACAATTGCAAGGATCCGAAAACTAAATCCACATACGAACGTTGTCTATACAGTAGCCACCCGGAAGAGAGCACATCCGCTAATACGAGGGTGAAACGTTATTTATCCGCGCCTCCTGCCTTCAGATATCGAAGGTAATGACATTAAAGTATTTTTTCAACATACACAAAAACGTCACACTCTACAATTTAATAAAGATTTGGTGCAACTTCATATTTGAACCTTTAAATATGAAGGGACAATTTGTTTCTACTATCATTAACATTACTATTACATGCCGTCGTAGGTCTAGTTTCGAAAGAAGCAAAGATGATTACGGGAGACTACGGAGTCCTTATCGGTTCACGGATGAATATTTCACTGATGCCACTCGTGACGTGCCAGCCGCGTACGAAAACAAGGGAGAAAAATGCGATAAGGTCGTGAAAGATTCCATGGTGTGCATGGTGTGCAAGGACGCTAAGACCAACGGCAAGTACGAGCAGTGCTCGTACGTGAAGAAGCCGCACGAGAAAGCTTACTCTTATCTCAAATCTAGTTCGTTCGGAAAACCACAGAGAGACGACGAAAGCGACGAAAGTTCCGAAACCCCTCATTCCGAAGTCTCCGACGACGAGGGGTCCGATGAGCAAAAAGATCGTAGCCCGAGTACCGTACAGTCTCGTGAATATTTTTACCCCAGCACGGATTACCCCGAGAAGGCTTCGACAGTGAACAAACGGGATGAGGTGCGGGATGAGGTGCAGGATGCTCCTTCGGCGGACTGCAAACAGGTACAAAAGGACTCCAAGACCTGCACGGTGTGCAAAGACTCGAAAACGGGCGGTACATACGAGAAGTGCACCTACAATTATCAACCCAGCGATAAATTATATAAATACAGTAAATCGAAAACCTTCGGATATCCGGGCGAGACCGCGGATTCCACTAGCAATTTGAACAAAACTCAAAAATTGGAAAAACCGACGAATTTTGATTATCCACAAAGTTCCGATTCTGCGCACGATTATCTAGGTAAGTGCTTATTTTCTTAAAAATAAAAAGGCGCGGTCTCAAATGTTTCAAAATTGTGATGCGACTGAGCGTTTTTGAAGTCAACATTGTATATACGCGTTAAAAAATTACAAAAATCAAATAATAATTATTTTTCTATATTATTTTCATTCAATTCTATATGTTATTGAAGTGGTTTGATTTTGAGGAGAGCACAGTAAATGATGCTTCCACTCCGAAGTATTCTTTAAAAGATCCAAGCTATGCGATACGTACAGGTACACAAAAAAATTTTTTAAACCAAGTAAATAGATTTACTTAAAATATATTTTTTTTGCTGAAATAAATATTTATTCTATTATTCTATTTAAATAAAAATGTCAAATTTCAAGTAAATATATGTATTATATTAAGTAAAATTAATTTAAATCATTATATTTTCTACACTCAAATAAAGATTTCATGAGATATAGAATACTATTTATTAAATGAAATAATTGTCTTTGTTAAATAAGAAATCCAATTTTCTTTGCTGTGAAAATTACACATCTTAGTAAACATTTTATAGAATTAAAATAATTTTTTAAAAATTAAAATTATCTATTCTTTGATATTTAATACATACTTAAATTAAAGCAATGCATGTTTTAATTTGTTTAATATTTTTATAATTTAAGTTAATAAGCTGTTAGGAGCCACCTAACGAATAATTTTCTTGAGTAAAGTGATATTTTTTTTATTAAGATTTTTTTATCAGCGTACAGCATAAATTATTCGATTTATAAATCACAGAAATTTTCTATTGCAATGGCATTTCAGAGAATTTACCAAACATGCTTCGTTGTGTATCTACATATGCACTGATTTTACAGATAAATTGGAACCCTCTACTTATCCAGGGAAATCCGACAAAGAAGAGGCTCAACAAACCCCAGACGATTCCGACGGCATCCCTCACGGTTCACCCGACTACAGTAGCGATTATTCCAATCCCGAGGAATCGAGTGATTACCGGTTTCCATCGCGTAACAACGACCACGAATCTTACGAGAGCCAGAAGACACCTTCCTCGAAACCAGTTTCGGAGCATTACTCCGAAAACATCAGCGCGGATAATTGCAAAACGGTTCAGAAGGATTCAATGACGTGCAAGGTGTGCAAGGATCCGGAAACGGGCAACGACTTCGAACAATGTTCGTACACGTATCAGCCCAGCGATAAGCTCTATTCTTATAGCAAATCCAGCTCGTTCGGCAACCCGGAGAACGCTGATAAACCCGAGCAAACGTCGCGCGAGGACGAGCACTCGTCGGATAGTTCTGAGAGCCCGAAGAAGTCTTACGGCGAATACGTTTCGGGACCGACTTACGAAGCTTCAACGACGGACGAGGCGAAGTCCGAGGATAACGCGGAAGAGAAGAAGGGCGTGGACGCCGGGTACTTGGACACCGCGAAGAAGAAGGCCGAGATCGAGGAGTTTATGCAGAACTTCCGGAAGGAGGATCGATCGAAATGTAAGAAGATTATGCGCGACAGAATGACCTGCTACCAGTGCGTCGACGACGAGGGCTTTCAGAAAGAGGAATGCGCGTTTGTCACCGGACACGAGCCCGACAAGGATCAGCTCGCGTTTCACGAGACGAAGGAATTTCAGGTTGAGGCCGCGCCGCGAGGTGCCCGCGACTCCAACAAGCCCACGGGCTCGAGGAAAACGAAGGCGGCGGAGTCCTTAGAGCCCAGCGCGTCCGCCAGTAGAAACACTTACGTTAGACTGGAGAAGCCGGACAACGAGTACCCTGACGAGGCGTCGCAAACGGCGGAGGAAACGAAGGGGGCCGAGCCGTATGATTACACGTCGGAAACAAGAGCTAAATACGACAAGGTCCTCAGACTGACACTTCCGGCGTACATGTTCTCCACTTCGGAGCACGAGGCGGCGTTTGACGAGATCGTAGCTTCCAGCCACAATCGACGCTAAAGTCGGCACCTTTATCGCTTCTTCTTATCCTTACGTATATATCCGGTCGCCCTTTACCTACAAATTGCAAATTTCTCCGCGCGAGACGCCTCCACTCGAGCGTTTCCATTGTAATTGACAATATTAGCGTGTACTGTACCTCCGTTGTCTAGTTTATAGCGTTTAGAATTTATTCGAATACACGTGACTTGATATTTGTAATTAAACGAATCCCATTCTGAGATGCAATGTGACCATTCAGTTTACACAATTACAGCTTGCTGAGACATTGCATCGTCAACTTAATATCGCGGCTACCGTAATTATTTCTAACTGAAACGCCTAACGGTGCCTGTCGCAAGCGGCAGCCCCGTAAGAAACAGACCTGGCGATGCTTGCGAAATATTTAAATTGTAAAAATTCTGTGTGTGTCTAAAGTTTTCAATTTTTCGTACATATACCTCTCCATCCCCCACGTCTCGCTCGCACAAAAATATTCAAGGTAACGGCCAGTTTTTCTAATTATATAATATTTTTATTCGCGCGATACATCGGGAGTATCTGTCGCGTGTGCGAGAGCCCCGTGAAGAAAAAAAAATGAAGCGACTCGCGGTGAAAATGAATCGGCAATTCCAGACTGGACTGCCTTTCCCCAGGGAGTTTTACCACCCTCTATGGTGTACACATTTCAAATATTGCGTGCACAGTGCGACGATCTTTTCCGTTCGACGACAAACGGATTGGGGATTGTTCGGCAACACGTCGACCGGCGGTATCGCGGATAATAGGAAATACGTTGTCTCGCGCGATATACTATATATCGGGATCCGAAAATAGACGCGAGCTATTTTGGCGAGGCTGCCGGACGGCCGGCGAGCGGCGAAAGACGGTCGGGCGCGCGGTGGACCAGCGGCGAGAGCAACGCAATGCGGCGATCAAATCGGTAAAGATGTAAGACCGTGGAGTCACACATCGTCAGCTCTCTCGCGTGCCAGTCTGTAAAGTCACGACGAGGTCCGTAGCGCCGAGCGAATCGACGCAACGGTCCGTAGTAGCTGCGGGCGCGCGCTAGTGTCGGCATCGTTGCTGCTCGTATCCCTTTTAATATCCGCCTTCTCCTCCAACTTTTGGAATCCCAAAAGTAGTATAGAGAACCGGTTTCACTCTCCCTCTCTCTCTCTCTCACTCTCTTTCTCTTTCTCTCTCTCTCTCTCTCGACTAGTGAGTAGCGACATAAGCCAGCGTGCGAAATCGACAGTCAGTGAATTACGAAATTATCCTGGATATGAACTCTTCGACACTTGTCGGGTAAGATTTTATCATTTATTCCGAATCGCGAATCTTCCTTGGGGCCCGCGCCGGCTTCTCGAGCGGTCCCCTTTTACTCTTCAAATTGTTAGAAATAAAAGTGCAACCGCGGGCAGACTTTGCTTCAAGTGTATGTTAGAAAAGAAGAAGGAGAGACAATGCTCTCTACGTCAAAAAAAAATGAAAAAAAAACAAGTCGGGAGCGAAAACCGCTGGACGAGTACGAGCGAAACTTATTGTTAGCCGGTTATTAATTAAGCTCGAGTTGCTTAATTTAGCATCGAAATGAATTGTCCTCAGTTTGATGTTGAAACGCACAGGGAGAATCGCGATCGAAATGCTCGGACGTGACGTCAGTTTCGCCAAGGGTGTAAAATTATTTTATATAATGTTTATATTTCGTCGACACACATGCGCGCGCGAAACTGAAGGAGAGGCAGACCTCGTGGAAGCAGGAGAGATGGAACTCGTTTTTCGGTCGTCTGGTATTGGATCGAGCGCGTCGCAAGGCCAAATCGGCCTTGCCGCGACGTGTCCCAAGGTGGACACGCATATTTCACCGTCGAGAAACGAGCGATGCCCGCACGGCGAAAAGATTCGCTTTGAAACGCAGCTTTTTCGCGAGTCGGCGCATTTTTGCGCCCGCGGCCAGGAAAACGCCTCGCGCGCAGATTTCGGTAGATACCTCTCGTTCGGATAAAGAAAATCGTTCAGATCGGGCAGTGGACGTTCACGATAATTACATTCCTCGGATCGCCAGCGACGGCATTTTAATTCCCGGCTAACGTGGGCTCTCGAGGCGCGAGTTTTCGTTTTCAATTTTGAAGAAAGTCCCCCCCCCCTCCCCACTTCGCTCGATACGCCGATTGTGAGACGTTCGCGCATTTCTCGCGCATTTGCGCGATGTTAGAAATCCTAAAAATAAAATGATTGGAAGTGTTTTAATATGTGAGGCTCCACTGCGCAAGCCCGCCCGTGCTAAAATTACTCTCGCTCGTGTATCTACCTAAATACACCTCTACTTGCCGCGGCTCATTGGCTGGGTTCCGAGCGTTACGGCGTGGCCGCCATCGGCATGACCGATTTGATTCGCCATGACCGAAACTTTTCCGAGAAACTCGCGCTCCAGGCAGAAATATGGTACCTTGCGCAGTTTGCGACAACGTGCCGCGGGAAGGAATGAGAGAAACGCCAAATCGGCCTTTTTAAGAAGATACTTTACGCGCGACAATCCGCGATAAATTTTTTTCTCGTGTATTAGAGAGCAGCAAATTATTGAGATTCCACAAACTGGCGCGGACAAGGTAGAGAATTCGAGACGAACATTTATTTGTAGCAACGATATTAGTCAGCGGTACCGATGAAGAGAAAAAAAAGGCAAAATAGTATATCGCGAGTGGTTTATTTCTGCTAAAGTAACGTAGAAGTTGGCAAACGTTTTCCACGAGAAGCACTGCCTTTTTCAACGAAGCATCAGCGAATCTGCTGAAATTACGAGTCACGTGCCGTAATGGTCGTGCCAAGATAAAAACGCCTGCGCTCCGACACGGTATTATAGCCTCGATTCCAAAATTCTATTATTAAAATTTTCAGCTCCCCGTGTTCATTGCTTGAGAAGAGTTTCGCGTGACTCGTGAATGAATTATTCGCATACACGTCGTACGAAGCTACGAACATATTGCATTCTACATACCATTCGCTTAAATATTTTAGAATATTTTATAATCTCATGTTAGACTCTTTCATATCTTATTGATAAATTTGCATATAAAAAAAAACTATATATGCACACGTTTTATTATCGCGAGGCAACGTATAAATGCGTGCACATTAAATTAAGTACATTTTCAATCATTATTGTTTATTTTAACGTGCTCCTCTGCAAGGATTTATTGCTCCGAGAAGTATTTGATTTGATTTTACACAGAAATCGCATTGCATTTATGGTGTAAAAATAAATCGATAAAATATAATTGCGAATTTAAGTCTAAGTTTAATGAATAACCCATATTTAATTTGCAGTATTTGCTCCTTATGGCTATATAAGAATGTTGAAAATTCTTTGTAATATTTTAATCGACAGAAATATTGTCGATGGTGTACGACGACCTACATTTACAACTGTTAGATACCTTCCAATCGTACTGCAATTCTACGGTGCAGCGGTCAGTGCTGTTTAATCCTTTTAAAGAAACATTTGACCGTATTAGCCTAAAAGACATTTTAATCAGCTTTCGTTGAATCGCACGTAAGTAGTTTCCGATCGGCAGAAGCAACATGAGCGATCCATGAAATATTTTTTTGTCTTGTCAGTTCAATTCTCGCTGCAGTTTCACACGTGTGTGCCACCGGAAGTATCGTATATATTTATTCGCCGACGAATCTCGCTATTATCATGTAAATTGATGATATCACGAGATAACCCGTGCAGCACCAAAGCTTTCAGAGACATTTCGGAAAACATTATTGCAATGTTGCAATGTTTCTGAAATGTTTCTGAAAGCTTTGGCGCTGTATGGGAATTAAAGAAGTTTCGCAAACTCTTAATATCGATCGCAGTTACGACGATTTGTATAAATCGTCTTGAATTCATATACGAAGTTTGCACGGACATTTGAAATGTGAATGTACGTACGTGCGCTTGAATACACACAAGATGACTCATCTTTGAAGTAGTTGCATTCCAGTGATAAGATAGCGTGTCTCATGTGAACGAAGAGTGGATTAATTATTCCTTCCCGATATGTTTTCGAGAAAGCAACGTATTGCGAGAAAACGATTCTTATTTTATCGAAATGTATTACAGTGCTCTGTGCATTGTATACAGGAAGTCTTGGCCTGAATGTCGACTAATATGTTTAAATTATAATAAAATTGCAGTTTGTGTTAGCCGATACGAAAAAAAAATATTACGCACTGTATAACAGTGTAAATTAATACGTTTACTTTGTGAAAAAATATATTAAGATTATATGAAATAATTCAGACAGTTAGTTTTCGGTATAACAAAGATATTGATTTGGTGAGGAGACTGTTTTACGATACAATTGGTATCTCTGTTTATTCACAAGTATTGTAATTGCTAAAGCGACCTCTGTTATATGCTTAGCTAAGAAACGTATTACATAACTGCTTTATTAAGATTAATAAATTATTTGATTTTTATTTGCAGGAATCCGAACGTCATGGTCGCAGGTGTGTACACACATATTTCTTTTCACGACAGAACGAAATTAATATAAATTCTTGATGTCAGAAGTAAAGGTGCTATACCCACAAATGATAGATAATCGTTTTCACGTAGCAAATACAATGGCAGCAAATGATAAAATTAAATACTGACGCATTAAGCATTAGTTAAATTACGTTTTACTAATAATTATACTAGAACAAACGTTAACCAATCAATTGCATCGCTCCTTTATATGTAACATCGTTCTGTCCATAATCTGTAGCATGATTTCAGGGCCGCCTCCACCTCCACCTCCCCCACCTCCCGTGTCTGGTCATTTACCAGCTATGAAGCTAAATACTGCCGAGGTAAGATGAAGTAGAGATATAACAAAGACCAATAATAGCGTTGGACTGCTCACTTATTAAATATAATTCTACAAAAATATTTTTTCATGTATGCAAGGAAGAATTGGTTAATCAAAATTTCTAATATTGAATGCAATTCCCCAACAAAATATTCTATTGTTATATTTTGAGAAATTTAAGATTAAAGCACTGTATTAAGTTTAAAGCATCATATTTTGAGCACTTAAGATTAAAGCATTATATTTTGAGAAATTTAAGATTAAAGCACAGTATGTGTGTTGGCAGAATTTAATTTTATTAAAAATAAAGTATACTAAAAGAAGTTTTAGTTGTTATATATAATTGTTGCAAAACTTTGCTATAAAGATAAAAAATAATAGATCTTCATAATTAAATACTAAGTTTGTTACATTGTGGAAAAGCTATAAAAACCATTTATAAATTAAACCGTTCAAAATCGCAATCTACGAAACATAATTCAATTGTAAACTTCAGAAAATTACTTAACCATGTCTGGCAAATTTTTATGTTTAAACTCACAACGTTTCGATCATGGTTTGTGGTCCTTTTCAAGTGATAATTGTGTCAATAATTCCGTATAATCAAAAGAACAGATCTTACTTTCACGAACGGTAGAACATGACTGACAAACCATAATGGAAACGTTGTGAGTTTAAACATAAAAATTTGCCAGACATGGTCAAGTAATTTTCTGAAGTTTGTAATTACTTCTAGCGACTTATAAGATTTCCCCCAGCTATAATTCAATTATTTGAAATTTTTATATTTGACTCTGGTAACAAAATTAACAAATTCAGAAAATAATAAAATTGAAATATTACAAATATCAATTTCTGAGAAATATTTTAAATTTTACAAGAATCGAACGATGCAGTCGCGTTGCGACGCCATTAGGAAAAGCGACTGACGATGTGACTACGTCATTGCATAGATGAGTCGCTACCAAGTTATTCGGGAAATTCTTACGAATGAAGTTACAAATAAAAGTTGAAAAGTCTGCTACAGCTGAAATTCCAGGCTATTTTGTCAATGCATAATTTTAAATAAGTTGCTGATACAATGTTCTTTATATTTGACAACCGTAAAAATTTAGTTACGTCGTCTAATTATTAGCTAATAATATCTTATCTGGTGATTTTTTTTATTCGCGGAATATAGAATGCAACAGCAAGGAGGCCGCAGGTGGTTAGCAACGATTACGAGCCGCCGGCAGCCATTCAAAATGCCATGCTGACGAAGGACAAGAAACCCTTCACTTATACCCCGGGTATGGGTGGCAAATTAGATCTCTCGCAGATCCGTAGTCCGCGAATGGCGAGAAGAGTGGCGAAAAATGCTAATGACGAGGGGATAGAAGGGCCACCAAAATCTGCCATCGAGCCAAAGCTATCGCCCGCGGTTTCTCCCCCAGCGAATCTCTTGATACCTCAGGTCGCGGTACCTGTTTTTCCTTCTAACGTGCCGCCTCAGCCTCCTAACAGGATGTCACACTCACCTTCAGTCAATAGAACATTGTCGAACGGTAATTATTCAGTTATGTCTTTTCTCTCTTTTCTCTCTCGAATGATTGTATGACACACAGAGCGTCTCATAACTATTTAATAATCGAATTTATTAATGCCAATTAATGTGCTAAAATCGATGTGTACTCATTTTACACAGACTACATTTGAAACCTCGAAATCTCTTTAGGTTGCCAGTAATAAACAACACTAAGTAAATTTTGGTCGACCTTAACTGGCACGTGTTTAATAAATTCAAAAAATACATAGCAACGTTTCGACCATGGTCCTTTTCAAGCAATTTCTAAAATGTACAATCAAAACTCGAGATTAGAAACCTCGTACGATATAAAAAATATATTAATAAATCATTACAACACGTAATATACAATAATAAAAAAAGTTAAAGGATTATTTTATATTATCCGCTGTGACAAACCATATTTTTTATTGTATCCATTAACTTTTATCTTGTTTCTTTCACTTTGTTTTTATTATTGTGTATTACATATTGTAATGATTTATCAATGTATTCTTTATATCGCACGAGGTTTCTAATCTCGACTTTTGATTGTAGATTTTAGAAATTGCTCGAAAAGAACCAAAATCCATGGTCGAAACACGCTGCTATGTATTTTGTGCATTTATCAAACACCTGCCAGTTAAGGTCAACCAAAATTTATTTATCAAGACTACATTTGATTGCTAGAGTACACAGAATATTTAAGTATTATACCATGTTACTCTATAAATATTTAATAAAATTACAATGGAAATTTAAACGATTCACCTACAGCTGTAGACAAGCAAGCAGAGCCAACGAGGAATATTATGAAAGTGGATACGAAAGTAGTGCCGATCACAGTCACGTCGAATCAGTCGAGCACTCCTGAAAGTCCAACCAGCCCTACCCAAATTACCTTAGCTAAGGCTCCTACGCCTTGGATGCAAAATAAAACCAAGCCCCAAGAAGAATTGCCCGAATGGGCTAAACGCACGAATACCAATAAAACAGCTGGCAACGAGCCGTTGGAAGACGCACTCTCACCGGTTTACGTTCAGGTTCAGCAATCGTCTCCGCAATCTCCACAGGCGAAACCAAAACAAGAGCAAAAGCAATATTCGGTCCCGCAGTACCAGCAAACGAGACCGCAACAATTATCTCAACAGCCGCAGCAGCAGAGGCGGAATGCTGATCCTGTGACGCCACAACAAATTAATTCGCAATCACATCACGTTGTACCCATCCGAGTAAGTTTGTTAAAGTTATTTGTACGGATGTGTCCCTACTTCCTAAAATATCTCTACTTTCGTGCATTATTTTTTTAACGTCACGATATTCTCAGATGGAAGATAGACCGTCGGTATTTGACGTGAAGCGTGAATCTGGTCATCATCAGTTTAAACAGCCTCCAACTCTGCATCATCAGCAACGATGGGGTCAAATGACCCCGCAACAGAATCAAGCGCAGAATCAAAAGCAGACCCAAGCTCATGTCACATCCCCGTCGCGGCCAGAACAATCAGGTGGAACAACTTATATCATCCCCCTTGTAGTTGAAGGTAGCGAGAAGAGAACGATGCCACCAAATACGGAAAATAATATTAAGATCGGGAAACCAGCAAGAGTGTAAGTTAAAGATTGAATAGGCGCATTTGCACGCACGTAAAGATTAAGAAGAATAACCCTGGCCGAGGTGATATTTTTTCGCAATAAACTTAGAATAGAATATTTAGACACTACCACCCTGGCACGGCTCTGAGTCCTTTAAAATTCTTTGAAATTTGTTATTAACACGTACGAGTCATACTAATTTATTTAAGAAGAATAAATTTTAATGTACTCTCATGGCTATATCAGGTGAACTTAAGATATAGAGGAAAGTCCTCTATTATGAGATAGTAGGTTTTCAACGTCCAAATTCAATCGCAAATCTTTTTTCGCAACGATTACACGATCTAACAATCAATTTTCCACTAAACAGAATTCACTCCAAGGGCAATAAATTCATGGCGGAACCAACAAGTGATGCCAATTAATTTAGCATAAACTCCGCTGCCTCATATTAGAAGCCCGTCTAATAATAGGGGACTTTCCTCTATGTATATTAAATCTATTTTATTAAGTATCGTGCCATAAATTAAAAAAATTTTAATAAACTATGTTTATTATATTTCCTGCTCAAAAGAAACTCTATTTTTATACTTAAAGCGAAACGTAACATCCCTAATTTAAGCTAAATTTAAAGCTAAATTTAAATAAATATGTATTCGTAAATTAAGTAAAAAAATTTTCATTTAATAAGCGACAATTACCATTTATATCTTAGTAATCTGTAAATCAATTTGGTAATATACAAATAAGATTAAAATTGTTTGAAAATGAGTGCGTTCGGATAAAATTTATATTTATCTAAAAAATAATTTTTAATAAGCTACATTCCGAAAAACTTTTAACGAATTTGTCACTTGTGTGTAACGTTTGCATGGTTTTCTTTTTATTGCTACTTATAAGTAAAATTTTTGGAACAGTGTGCAACAGCGGAGTCCCGATCTTATTCAGCAACACGAGCCTGGCCCGGTTCAATCGCGATCGTTTCGCGTCCTTCAAAAGATTACGGACACGGATGAATTCAACGATGTTGGTCCAGAACAAATACGTAAAATGGAATTAAGTGAAGACGAAAAGATACTCATGAACAAATTTAAAGAACAAGGTAAGATAATATTTGATGCTTATGTGTATCTACTATGAATTATAATATTATTTATGCGTTTTTTGTTACAATTTTATACTCATAATGTACATGAAAATATATTTGTCAAATATGTTCGTGCAATATAAGTATAATATAAATATGTTTAATAAGAGTTTTTTTTAAGGATAATTTAATTAATTTTTCAAATTAAGTTATTACTTGAAAACTCTAAGCTGCCAAAAACATTATATTGTTTTTATATTGTATTTTACAGTCGATCAGGAGACTTATCTCCATCAAGAGAAAGATCCGAGATATCGTGGTGCGGCAATACCTTCGCGAGCTTTTCGTTTTTTACAAAATATGACAGAGTCGAATGATACCCCAGTTTGCGCTGGTAAGATTGTTCTATATGTATATTAGGTATTTTTATTAAAAAGTTTCACTTTCATTAATGCTATATTTCATCAAGAATATAAAAATACACCGTAATCTCTTGTTTCTTGTAACCAATCAAACATATGAAACGGGAAATGGAAACAATAAGGGCATTTTTATTTTGTACGTTACAGCGCCACATAATGTACAACAAAATGTACAAAATAAGCGGCAAAATAGAAATTCTAAGTCGTTCGGTAGGTACAAGTAACTGTAAAAAGAAAGAACTTCTGCTTCTTCGGTTCAACTAAAATATTTGAAATATAATAAATTTGACTTGTGATAATTCTTATACAGAGGAGACACAGGCAAATCTGCCGCCTAGTGAACAACAAGTACCGGAACCGAAGAAATACACGGGTAGTGCAATTCCTTCTCGATCCTTCAGGATATTACAAGCGATGACATCAACAGAAAACAATGGTAAATATGCTAGATTAAAACATTTACCTTTCACAAAGGTATCTTACTTATCAAATATTTTTGAAAATACCCTTTAAATAGATTCTTTTGTACTTTTCCTTTTTTTTCACGTATAAGATGCCCAAAGTTCCAATTTTCGAAAAGTTATTTACTTTAATTCATAATCTGCCTTACGTCATATTTAACATAGACGAATTAATGATTTGTCTTGATATGACATACACATTCTTTGTTGTTATAAATTAATTGTAAAAGCTTATTTATCTGTGTACATTAATAAGTGCTTTATATTCTAATTACTACTTTATTGACATAACATACGTCACATTGCTCAAATTTCCTAATCCTGTGTTCACAGGAGTAATAAAATTTTCTTGGCTACTGATATATGTTTATATATACATATACACATATTCACACACGCACGCACGCACGCACGTACGCACGCACGCACGCATATACAACGCACGCACACACACACACGCACACACGCACACACGCACACACAGTAGAAAGACCAAGCCAAGTGTTACACAGATTAATACCTCAAAAATCTTTTAAGTGTACCGCAATAGATTTTTGAAAACTTTCTTGGGAAGAGTCTATAAGCGTGTGCATAATTTTAGCAAAAGAATTTAATAAATTTTTATAGTACTGGTTCTTTACGACTAGACAGAGTGAGAGAGATAGAGAGAGAGAGAGAGAGAGAGAGAGAGAGAGAGAAAGAGTAAGAAAAATAAGACGTAAAAAATTATGTTCAATGTAATATCTATACCATAATTTTATTATATTTTATGCAACATATTCATCAGTAAAGGTTGGTTTTGAAAATCGTGATATGATTATTTGTAAAATTTGATTTATCGCACATATTAAAGCTGTGCCTCAGACTCGCATTAGCCGTCAATTGTAACTGCAGTTGTGTGTTAACGACCCCTGTGAAGTTAGCCCCCCCCATTATTTAAAAATGTAACTTTTTTTACGAGTTCCCTATAGATTTACAATAGTTCCAGAGTTCTTGATTAAGAATTTTTTAAAATGGGGGGCTAACTTCACGCAGCCCCCCATTTTCGTAAAAACTAATTTTTTAATGGAGTTCTGGATAGATTTCACATAGTTCTAGAGTTCTTGATACATTTTAACAATAGTTCTGCACGAGAACGTAAAAAAAAACGAAGTTGAAGAATCAAGAAACAGTACCCCAGAAATAGGCGTAACTATAAAAGTATTAATGTAATGGAATTTTGCCATTAGGATTTTCGATAGAACTCTGCGGGGCTACCGGGAACTCTCAACAGAACTGCCGGAACTGTTAAAAAATTTTTTCGGATCTTATAAGACACAAACTGACACCTAAAATCTTTGAAAAAATTTTTGAACAGCTCCGGCAGTTCTGTTAAGAGTTCCCGGTAGCCTCCGCAGAGTTCT